TAGCGCTCCCCGCCACTCCCCTCCGCGGTGACGTCACGCGGTGACGTAACGCGCAACGCTAACGTAACCGTAATCAACGTCCTACTGTGACGTGGCACTCATTACGCCACAGGCAAGCACTGCAGCTATATAAGTGGATGCACAGTGCGTATCGATCAGTTCAGTTCTAGTGGGGCTACCGCAGAGTTGTACTGAGTTGTACTGTTGTTGTACTGTAACAGTCGCCGAGTCAAGACGTAAAGTCAGCCAGTCAGTTGTATTCTGGCATTGGGAGTGTACTAATTGTGATACTGCAGATAGCAGTAATCGTCAGATTGTAATTTGGGTGATTGTAAGTGCGAATGTGAAATAAAGTTCGCTATATAAAATACGGCGTGAACTTATTTGTCGCGATAAGCCCGATACGTGACAATAATATTGGAGGGGGTGGGTTTCCCCATGCACCGCGACTAATAGTCAATTGTACGTCCCCATTTGATATTCTACCAGTCTCCATACCCTGCCGGTACTGGTGCTCGCTATCAGCCCCGTTCAGCCAGCGAGACTGGCTGCGGTACCCGATGCTTCCCCATCTACCGGAGGCATTGGAAACAACTTGGGCGGGAAACTTTTTACCTAATTTAGCTCAGAGGTCTCCTAGAGACATGAGGATCTTTTACGTGCCGTAAAGCTACGACACGGGACCCACGGCTTAAAGTCCCTCCCGGAGGACTTGTTCCCTGATTCTTTCCGCCCTTAAAAATTCCACGACCTCCGCCGGGTTTGAACCCGCGTACCTTGAGTCATGAGGTGGGAACGTTGCCCCTAGACTACGGAGGCCGCTTTTAACACCATAGTAATAGGTTTATGTGTTGAAGAATGAAAATTATGAAGTTTCTCATTATACGGTTTTATTCAGTCGTTTTTATTGCTTTCCTTCTATGTCGAGATATTGTATTCTACTCAGTAGCATATTCTCAAATAATCTGTGTTCTTCCGTTTTGACAAGAAATTCAGTTCCCAACAATGAAAAATAGGAATTAAAATTCTAGTTTTCTGTATTATATTGCTTACTATTTTCATATGAGACAAGGAGACAAAATACTGTGGAATGCGAATTGGCAGCTGGCATTCCGTAAATTTAATTTCATTTTAATTTCTTTGTGAATGTAATTGTTTTAATGTTGTTCAAACATCTAGGTATATTTGTACTTAGTCACACTCTTGAAATATTCTCAAATATTTTTATTTTGACAGTAAGGCCCCGTTAAAGAGCAACAAATACCCGAGTTCAGCCACTTAGATATAGAGCCTATAAAATTAACTTAATCTGATGCTCACGTGTTCCTTGACTTTCGAATCGAGGAAAGGGTACACCAAGGCTATTGTTGCGTTCAGCAGGGCAGAAGTGTTCACCACATGGAAGTCGATTTGAGGGAAGCTTAAGTTCTGAAAAAGAATATTAGTGAAATAATAAAAGTAATCACAATTTGTCACCGTACATTTCAGTTAATAATAATTACTGTAACGCACATTTACTTCAGAATTACTTGGCACGACAAACCTCCCAGTGTCAAGAAGCTTAATATATTGTCACATGTATTAGTGACTACAGACGGTGCTTGGATTGGTGAATAGATTTATTGACCACTTACAGGTCGTAACTACAAATAACTATAACATTATTGCTGACTTCCGCACTACAAATCACACCATATCTCTTCTCAGTCTTCTTTCACTGGTGTTTACTTCCACCCGTTACCCGCTGGTTAACACTCCACAACTGAGCCCTCAACCGACCCCTGTAGCGTCAATTGTCTTCAAGATAACTCCTCGGAAAGGACCACGCAGAAAACACAGCCCATATAATGTTGAGGCTTTGTTACCGCACCATTGCAGGGCAACGGTTGCGACGCGGACCAAATAGAAATCACAGCCTCTCTATTGTAGAAGTGTGTTTACTGCTGGCACGTGTTTACCGAGCCGTTGCTTAGAAACGGGTTGCAAAACCACGTTTTCTATTGTTGCGTGCGTATATGGTTCGGACGTTACATAACAACGGCCGATGTTTACAGAGCCATCGCTTAACAACGGGTCTATACGCCACAGTATAGAATAAAGTTATTTATAGGACCTTGCAAGTTTCGGTTCCTTTAAGAAGCAGCATTAAAAATATACCAAGATACATAAGATACATAAAAATAAGAAAATGATCTGCTTATAATGTCGAAATATATGTAGTTTTAAACAGTTTATCATTATAACTTCATAACTTATTATACTAAGATCTTTGAAAATATTGAGGCAAACTCCTTTACGGTTGAGTCTCTGAAGATGGCCTTCAAGGGACGAAACACATGAGGCCATGTAGATAATTGGATTGTTTATATTTAACTTGTTTACGTTGGACGGCTTAGCATTCCAAGACTAATGCTAGTGTAACGGCGAACATGTCTCAGAGCAGTTCACTATATTATTATTACTATAGCTACAGAGTCAATTTGTTTAGGAATACAACAAATAAAGTCATATAATTCGCGCAATTAAAATATTATTACTTACTTTATATATTTAGCTACGTTTCTTAAGTACGTAATATTGTCACGTGTTAGGGTGACCTATGGAATGGATGATTGGATTTATAGCACCTTATACATTCATACAACTCGGGACTACAGGCAATTACAGCGCTATCTGTATTCTACATACTTTCTAGTTCATCGTTACACACGCACTAGGGTTCTCAGTCTTTACTAGTCGTATCCTGGCAACGGATTTATCACAGTCTCCTTGTCACTTCAAGTTACACATTCTTTGCACCGCCTAGTTCCTTTCTTGCCATTATTCAGTAGCTGCTGATTCCGAAGACTTGACTCTCCACTCTCGACTACTACTTTCTATTTCCAATATCCTAGCTTCAGTCCAGCCTGGCCTATGACTTTGTTAGGCATGTTGGGATAATTTTGAGTTTTCTACTAGAACCTCTCTGAGAATGTGTCTTATGTTCACAGAGCAGCACGACTAGAAATCTGCCTATATCGTCAAAATAGCTTCTGCTACATTCACAAGGAATGCTATAGAGTCACTGTGCCGTCTGTTGTTAATGTCTTTCCGGCCTGGTTCTCATGAGAGAAATCCTAAGATTGTGTTAATTTTGCAAATGGTCCTAATGATATAACGATCCCTTTATTTTTTAATTTCCTGATATGTTCTTCACATATGATATGCACAGAGAGCAAAGAGACTTTTCTTCTTTATTCGGATCACTGCTACCCTTGAAACTACAGTAGAACTTGGTTATAACGTCATCAAAGGGACCTANCCACTGCTACCCTTGAAACTAATTAAAAGTAAATGAACATCATACATTTTCTTGCTGTCCCCCATTGCCAAACACTGATCTCAGGTTTATACATAGCTGTAGTTGTTATCCTGCGACCGAGGTTAGCTCTAATATTCCCAATACATTAGGTGCTTCTCATCCCCCAAATGAGGAAGGAAACAGATCCAGTTTCCCAAACGTCGTGTTCATTAGTGTTCTTCAGGTTACCGGACGATGGGAATAGTCCAAAAACCCAGTAGTCCTGAGTGTTATACCCGTACATCATCGTCACCCCCCATTACAAGCTACTTACATAGAGTTTGCGAGAGGAATTTCTCAAGTTTTGTGGCGTGAGCCAGCGGAACAGTTTCAACGAATATCCTTCCATGTCGACTATGACAGCCAGCCCATTCTTCTGCGTCTCTTCTTCCTCCATCGCCGCCTCCAGCCACAAGTCGTCCACGTGACTCAGGCGATAAATATTAATGTCTTTGTTGTCATCTATGTTACCTGTAATAGTTATTTTAGCTGTTACATTAAGAATGAAATACGAGTAATGTCACGTGTATTAGTGACTTGTAAACGGGGTTTGGATTGGTGAATCGTTTATTGGATATTCGTAGTCGTAACTACAATTAATTATAGCACTCTCAAGATTAATGTAACTATAACATATGAAATAACGCCTTCAATAATTCAACTATTCAGTTTCCTTCTGAATTCTCTTCTACTGACGGCTTCTCAGCTGCTACCTAATGTCTCACACATAACTCTACATCATCTGAGTCTTAGTCTTATGTTACTACTTACAGTCTGGACGGCCGCGCCATGGCTCAAGCGGTTAGTCGCTTGCTTCCCACCGCGGCAGCCCAGGTTCGATCCCGGGTCTGGTCAAGTGGGATTTGTGGTGGACTAAGTGTCGCTGGGGCGGGTTTTCTCCGAGTGCCTCGGTTTCCCCTGCCAATTTTCATTCCACAAAATTCTCCGTCATCATAATCACCCGGGGCAGGTACAATAGGCCAACCAGTGGCCGCCGTGCCGAGTGGACCTAGTTGGACTCCACCCCCCACTAAGCGAATTACTACTAACAGTCAGTCGGCCACTCTCTCTGGAGATTACGACCAGATTTTTATTACTGTCAGACAGTAGCGGCTTTGTTGATGTGGAGGGATCTCTCTGAAGAGAGGACGGGTCTATCGTTTACAATGCTCTTACCCCCTTCCTAGCACAGTCATTTTCGGGTCCGAGTTCCGCCTGCAGCTGCTGTACGTGCTATGACTTCGAGGGAACTGAATAGAATACACTGATCTAAGGGTCCCAGTTTTGTGTTTTACCAATGCGTTGTATCAGATACACTTGCAATTACCGTGGTAACCAAATCCGCTGCCCAGCAACGGACGTGTATTTGTTGACAGCGTTATACTCCAAACTTGTTTAATCAACCGTTACATAGAAATGGCCGTCTTTTCTGACTTCACTGTTTCGGCTTTCAGGCGTTATGTCTCAATATTCTGACATTCGTGTACATCTCTATTTAGTGATTTTCTGTAACAGTACTGTCTTCTGAGATTTGATGTCGAGTGTTATGGTAAGAGATTACAGGGCATTATATTCCAGAAGATGGTAAGCTTCCTACCCACTGCTTTGAGAGCCTCATATCTCGGATATTCTCTCGTTCAACTGGAGGCATATTCTGTACGTTATTGATTTGTTTGCGGTTTATTTAGCGACGCTGTAAGAAGTTGAGTTTACGTAGCGACGAAATGTAGGATTATTAATGAATAACGAATTCGAAATATTTCTTATTCCTCACATTTTAATGTTTATAGCACCCAAATTTTATTCCAGATGGTATATTTATTGTCTTTAATATTTTAGTTACATCAATAGTTTATGCTTTATTCGTCCATCAGGAAATCAGAACACAAACAACAGGCTGTGCAGGAAATTTGTCTCATGTTCTGAAGATGCGAGGCACGACTCTTGGCAAGCATAACGATTATGCTGAGGTAATTCTGGATTCTCAGTTCCTCCAATACTCTGCTCTCGCTGGCTGTAGAGCCCTTGAGAAATTTGTGGGCGCTCAGACATTTCCCCGCAATTTATGGAACCGAAAATTTTACTACCGTTCTTGCTTTTATCTATTGATTAACATCGTAGTTATTCCTCTGAAGTTCTAGATGTTCCCTGTTGCGGCAAAGAACACGCTCTATCGGTAAAACTTCAGCAACATAATTACAATGTTAATCAATAAATTAAAAGGAAACCCATTATAGAACATAACGCAGCGTAGACCCGCTCCTAGGCAAAGTTAGCGAAACAAACAGCGAGACAACAGCCGTTGATAGACAGCAGCCAGCGCGCCAGAGCTTAGTTCCAACCGTGTGGAGGCGGGGTCGAATACCTCCACTTGACCCTGCGAGACGTATGAGGCGACGAAAAGGGACGTCTCGAATCTGAGACAGTAGATTATGGTTGCTAGTCCCGAGGGACTCGGACCCGAGAAAGACTGCGCTGGAAAGGGACAGCAGCATATACAAAAGACAGAACCGTCCTCTCGTCAGAGAGGGCATCCCACAAAACAAGACCGTAACTGTTAAACAGTAATAAATATCAGGTCATGAGACCCAGATAGGACTCTACACCAAGAACTACTGGCTGACTGACCGTCAGTCGCAATGTGACTGACTTGAGTTTAGTTCAAAACCAGCAACTGACAGTAATAAAATCCTGGTCTTAGGTCTCAGATGGGTGCTTTATTCCAAGACAGACTGGCCGACTGTCGTCGGCCGTAACATAAGACTAGGTAGTTCGATATTTATAAGATACAAGCCCATCTTGTCGTCAGACAGTGTGTTGTATAGGGACTATTACTACAAGTTTTCAGTTAAAAAAAAAGATCCGGCCGTGAGTCTGAAAGGGCTTGGTGCAAGACGAACTGATTGGCGGTAAACCGCCAGTCTCTGAGGTTAGTTCAGTTGTGAGACGACCACTTACAGATCGTAACTACAAGTAACTATAACACCCTCACTGGTTTATACACTCTAACACACATAAATTCTGAGCTCAGTTCAGCTGGGGGATGTTCTCCAGCTAGTGAGGACATAAGCTGAAGAGAGTGTTAAAATCCGTTACCACGAGACGACTAGTAAATACATAGAAGACTTTATGTGTGCTTTAGTTACAGTGACTTTTAGAGTGTATAAACCAGTGAGACTGTAATAGTTACTTGTAATTACGATCTGTAACTTTTCAATAAATTCAATTACCAATCCAAAATCGGCCTATGGTCACTCACACACGTGACAATAATATACAGTGTCATAATAATATATTTTAATATCCTTTTGCATTGAAGTATCACTTGGAATCTTCTTCCGTCTATAATGCAACAATATCAATATGGATTTTAATGACACTAAATCACATTTAATTCACTAATGAAGACTACAGATACACAGTATATAATACATAGGTGGGTCAACCTGGTTTACATGAAAATTTACGCCAAGTACATGATTTAGTAAGTAAAATATGGACACGAGGTTGACATACATGTTTTGAAACATGTCGTCCCAGACCGCAACTCCATCTGCTGAGAGTTGTGTCGACAGGAATACAATAATTTTTACCTACAGAGATTTATACAGTGGTCGAGCGGTCTAAGGCATGAACTGTCTTCGTTCACTCGGAAACTGGGATCGTGGGTTCGAATCCAACTGAAGACATGGATTTCTTTCTGTGTTTGTGTAGGTAGCGACATTACGACGGGCTAATCCCTCATCCAGGGAGTTCTACCGACTGCCTTAGGATTAAGAAACTGAAGTGAAACAAAGTGATTCACGGATGCCTTATGCTCCAAAGTGGGAGCAGCAGGAGAGAGAGAGAGAGAGGATACAGCAACAATCTCGCTCACCTATTTTCACGACGTACACCCGGCGCCCCCTGCTGTCTCTATCAGCCAATATTGCTTGTATGTGCATTTCTAGAATATCTTCATACTCCGAGGGAGGACTACAGCAGTGCCATTCCTTCGTCTGGGCCCGAAATTTGTATATATCCTTAATCTGAAACAATATTGAACTGTTTAAGTTAGGAAAACTGTTTTACAGAAAGTTACAACAATGACTGATTCAGTCTCCTATAATTTAACGACGCTGTCTAAACTGTATATGTTGTGATATGAAGTCTTCACGAGTGAGCAGCACAGTAAATATATGACGCTCGAGGGCCGATGTTAGCTCCAAAAGACATACTCCGAAATTTCTAATTGGTCGGAAACGCACCTTTCCATAAATGTATCCATTCAATATTCGTTTTCACATTTAATTACACCCTTTATATCCTATCCAATGGGTACCGGGCGCTCTTTCCCCTGGGGTAAAGCGGCCCGTGTGAAGCTGATCATTGATTTCCAATTAGTGCCGAGGTCAAGAAAATGTGGATCTATACATCCACTCCCCCATACATTTTCATGGCGTAGCACTTAATTAGCTAAGCACAGAGACAAATTTACCTTACCTTAGTCCCAACCGCAATAAAACTTTGAAGCTTGAAGTTCATCTGGATAGTATTTAAAATGTCTTATGTCATGGAAAACACATACCATGTCCACTACAGAGACAGGGCAGTTAATTGTGCTTAGTAAATAATCGTTGTTTATTGTGAAAATCATATAGTCGGAGCCCATAAATACAATTTGTGGCGAAAATATAGAGCGTTAATATTAGAACAGGTGGTATGTACAGGCCTAGTGAGGTAAAGGTATCCCTGTAACAGGCCGTGAAGGCCCATAGGGTTGTGAGACGTCGAGGCTCCCACACTTTCTCTAGACAATCGGCTCACAAATGGCGGTAAGGTTGTCAGTCTTACGCGCCGACCGCCGTTTACTCGCAGGAAAATTCTTGATACTCATTTCTCTTAGAGGCTGTGTCGACCCTAGGACCATAGTGCCGCTGGAAGGTTTATGTCAGTTGAAAATATCCACCTCATCGGACTCGAACCCGCGACCTTCCGGCTTGTAGCATAGTGCCACAACCAACTACACTGCCGCATACCCCATACAGGCCTAGTAAACTCAGCATTTTAAAGGGTGATGATTGTCATTTACCAACTGAACTTGAATAAGTGGGACGAGAAATTACGTTATGAACCGAATAATTCTTTTCTTTTTCTATGTCTGTTTAAAGACGACCTAAGTATTAAGACTATACAGCGTCTATGATAGGATGATTAATTAATCAATCTAAAGTACTCGGAGAAAGCGTACCCCAGTGTCACTTTGTCCACCACAAACCATGAGTCTTTGAAACCTGAAAGTGATGCATTTTTATCTTGAGCGAAAACGCAAAACTTAGAAATTGATTCGACAGAAACGAATCAGAATTACACTCTTGAAAAGTTAGAGCTCAATCTGTTCCGGGGAATGCATGCTACATTCAATTCAGAAACCTCAATCTTTCCGTCTAAGATTCAAAATCGTCATTAAACTACTGAAACATATAGAACTACGTGTATAATTTCATGAATTGTTCCTTTCGTGTGTGAGCGTGGTCCCCCAACCTCCAAGGAGAACTAGCATAAGTTGTTGTTTGAGAATAAAATACTAATTAGAATATCTGGTCCTTAGATGGAAGGAGGACAGCTGAAACTGCATGATGAGGAGCTTCATAACTTATACTCTTCATGACAAACTCCATCAGGATAAGATGGGCGAACATGTAGCACCCACAGGCGATGTGAGAAATACGTACGTACAGAATGACAGTCACAAAATCTGAGGAGAAGAAATTACATGGGTAACCTATCAGTAAATGTGAGGTTGTTTGAAGCCGTGGGTTGGATTCAATTGACTCAGGATTCATTAAGCATGAGAATATCAGCAGTAGTAATAGTACAGTAGTATGGTTGTCAGTAGCAGTAACATTAGCAACAGCAGTATTAGTAACATCAGTGACAGTAGTAGTAGTAGTAGTAGTAGTAGTAGTAGTAGCAGTGTTGTCAGTAACAGTAACATTAGCAGCAGAAGTACTAGTAACACCAGTGGCAGCAGTAGTAAGATCAGTGGCATTAGTAGTAGTAGTAGTAGTAGTAGTAGTAGTGTCAGTAACAGTAACATTAGCAGTAGAAGTAGTAGTAGTAAAACCAGTGGCAGCAGTAATAGTACTAGCAGCAGTAGTAAGATCAGTGGCATTAGTAGTAGTAGTAGAGGCGTCAGTAACAGTAACATTAGTAGTAGTAGTAGTAGTAGTAGGGGTGCCAGTAGTAGTAACATTAGCAGCAGTAGTAACATCAGTACTAGCAGTAGCAGTATCATTGGCACCAGTACAATATAATACCTTGTTGAAAGCCAATTCTGGGTCGAAATCCAACCATCTCAGATATCGGAGCATGAATTTGTCATCCAATCTTATTTTTAGGTTCTTCTCTCCTGTGAAGCAATAGAATACTAAATTAGTGACAGCTTGACTGCCATAAAACAGAGCACACAGTGCATGTGAAGGCCACTCTAATTCACATTTTTCAAGCTCCCTGTTATCTTGGAGCGATGCCCTTTATGGCTTTCTTTAGCACAGTATACTTCTCAGCATATTTAAAACTAAGAGTGAAGACGTAATAGAACAAACATAACAACTGCAAAATAACAAACTTCATATTTGTACTCGTCGGTAAAATGTATTAGAGAATCAGATCAAAGAAAATGAGATTGGAAAAACATGTGGCAGGCATGGGAGAGAATATAAATACGTACATAATGAAGGAAGGAGGTCATTAATCAGACTTGAATATAGTAAGTATGAAAATATATCCCTGTAGCAGGTCCTGGAGGCCCATAGGGTTGTGAGATGTTGAGGTTTCTAGACAATCGACTCATAGATGGCGGGAAGGTTGTCAGCCCTACGCGCCGGCCGCCTTTTACCCCCCCCCCCTCCTCAAGAATATTCGAAGAACCTTCCTGGTACTCATTTCTGTTAGAGGCTGAGTCGACCCCAGGGCCATAGTGCGGCTGGAAGGATTGGGTAAATTTAAAAAATCCAATGACCTTATCGGGACTTGAACCCGCGACCTTCCGGCTTGTAGCATAGTGCCTCAACCAACTACACTACCGCGAAAATATGTGGACTGGATTAATCCTGCACAGGATAGGACCAGTAGCACACCCTTGTGAACACGACAATTAATCTTCATTTCTCTGTAACATATTGAAAATTTCTTGAATGAGTCAAAAACTGGTGGCTATTCAAGAAGGACTCAGCTTCATGGAGTTAGATGTTTAGCTAATAATTACTTCTCCTTATTCTTCTGCATTTTAGTGACAGAAGAAACATACTCAAAAACACGTGGCGAGTCTAATAAATTTTGTAGAATAATTTCAACACTTTACGAAGTCGTTCTCAATGACACTACGATTATGTAAGCCTACCCTCACGCTCCACAAACTCTGCAAAAGGTCACGCCAACTTACCTTGGAGGAGTTCCCGCAACGTTTCAATGCATTTCTGCACGTCAGCTTTGTCGTCTTCTCTGTTCGTTTTCTTCTGTATTGTTTTATCCTGCAACTTTTTTTGTGCTTCTTTCTTTGACATTTTGCTCATTCACTGTTAGGAATAAGATAAAAAGTTACTTTAATCAAGGTTTCAGGTTCCCACAGCCGTAACTATGAACAATACCGCCTTCTGGGATGTTAACCTTGTAGTCTGGTAATTCGCAGAAATATCGGAGGAAGTACTGCCTCCATCTTCAGGGTCGAAAAATAAGCTAAGTAAGCAGCCTTTACTCCGTAACGTCAGTGACCTTCTACCACACTACATGAGGTCACATCTCAGGAGTTAGTACGGTAATCTTCACAAATAGATGGCTCTGTCAAGATGTTAGGCACAGGATTGTGAAAAATATTTCACTCACGTTGCAATCTGCTGAATTATGACACCAGTTAGGCTGTTGTAGTGAATCTTTCTAGTTAGAAGTGACATACGCCCTGAAGATTGGTGCAGTTTATTTCTCCGAAACATCGATATCTACATACTCGATTACAATACGGTGCCATATACCCCTAAAGTCCCCAGTATGAATCTTCACAGCAGACGCCGTTCAAAGCTAAAACCCTATGTAATAAGTTAAACTGTGCTTTTCACTTAAAGAACCAAAGAACACTCATACAATTATTTGTACTAAAGGTGTCAGGTAACATTGTCACGTGCCGGGAAAACACAATAAGTGTGGGCTGTTGCCTGGGAATGCCTTAAGCAACAAATGCGTTTTCCCGGAGATGAAAGGACAACAAAAGCGTTTCCCAGGAGACAACAGAGGGTTCGTTGCATGACAACGGTAAAACCGAACTGTTGAGAGTGGTGTTCTGTAAGCAGTGCATATCCTTACTTATAGCGACCCTGCGAGTCGTAGGAGGCGACGAAGTCTCAAGGGACTTGGACCCGAGAAAGACTGTGCTGGCAAGGGCCAGCAGCACGTACAAACGACAAACCCGTTCTCTCGTCAGAGAGGGCGCCCCACAGAAACAAGACCGTAACTGTCAAACGGTAATAATTCATATCTGGTCATGAGCCCCAGATGGGGCTCGACACCAAGACTGACCGTCAGTCGCAATGTGACTTTGGCTTTGACTTTGACTTGTTATCGAAGAAACGTCAGAGGACGCTACAAGTGGCAAAAATTGTACTTGCATGTGTGAAGGCGAGAGTACAATAAATATTCGCTAAATCCGAGACTTGCGTGAAGTTATTTGTCCCGTTACATAGGCAACATTTGACAATATTGTGGCGTGCCGCCAGGAAGACCGGACTAAAGAACGTCCATTGCTGGTCAACGGCTACCAATTCTTAGGCAACGAAACATAAACAGACCGTTGCCTAAGGAAATGCTTAAGCAACAGAGACTAAATTGTTGAGTTCCCACAGTAACGAAGCATCCAATATTATAGGGCGTCCGTTGCTAGGCAAGGCATGGATGGACACGCCTGACAATCATACATGATATCCGTTGCTAAGCAACGATGTGTTTTGTATCGATGATCCGTGCTGAGCCTATATAAGGAGCAGTGAACACTGTTCGAGGGGATTCAACAGGAAGATGTCGATATGGGAGAAGATTGAAAGAGCGATAAGGGAAGAACTAATAACAGTTCAAAGACCCAAAAATAGTTAAGATCCAACGAGCGGTGAGGGAGGAATCAAGAGCGAAGACCACCGAGAACAGCGGCGCATGAGTACAGCCATTGAAGAGGGAATGTGAAAGACGTTACTGAGTGATTGTATGAGTATTTGTGAGTGGAAACAAATAACTGCTCAATAAACATTCGTCTAATCCGAAACCCCTCGTTTCTTGTTGCGTTACTTAGGAACACGCATCCAAACCGAGTGTATTGGAATGTTCCACATGTAAATATTACGACTTGCATATAGCGTGTGGCTGTTATTTACAAACTCACTCAAGCGGCTACAGTATATTTATGCAGTTCGAAAAGAAATCATTTGTTGGTAGGCCTTATATTTCATTCTGCTTTTTATTAGCCTCCTTTTCTTGTTTTGAAGAAAAGCGAATGGAGTCTTATGTGACCATCTTTACTGCCTGTATGTCTGCTTATCACCCTCTAAAGGTAAAATGGTAAAATTGTCCCTGTGTTTAACCAATTAAGCACTATGCCATGAAGGCGTATGGGCGAGTGGACGTATAGATCCATATTTTCTTGATATTGACATTAGTTGGGGGTGAGTAGTCAGCTCCACGCCCCGGCCGCTTTACCTCCGGGGAAAGAGTCTCCGATACCCATTGGATAGGAGGTTGGGTGGACCCCAGTGCCGGTCTGGACGACATGGAGAAGAGAAATCTCGGATTTCTACAGATATACAAGTCAATATTACGTAGCGTGCGTCGCGTACGTAGCGCTCTGTGTGGCCGAACCCTTACACTTAGCAAAGAACAAGTAGTGAATGACTTCCTTAAACAACCACTGTCATGCCCGATAATGGTTACAAATCATTCTGAAATTGCTTGAATTTTCTACCACCTCGAACCACGCAAAGCAGCAGGGCCTGAAGGAATACTGAACATAATACTTAAACATCGGCCGCGGCTAGTTCTCAAGTTTATTGCTTAAATATTTAATAGATCGCTTGCGCTAAATTATTTTCCTACACAATGGAAAATATGTAAAATCACTCTGCTTCCGAAACCAGGTAAGGACCACACGTCCCCACTGAAGTATAGACCAATAAGCAAGAAACTTCCAACTTCTGGAGCTGAAAGTTATCAGAAAAGACCAATGTGGTTTTAAGAGACGACCCTCCACAACACATGCGTTGTTAAGGAACGCAGAGCTCATTACGCACATTAACGCCATTTCTAGATTTTGAACGACCATTCGACAAGGTTTGGACCACAGGACTAATTTCTAAACTTATTAGGCCAAACTCCCACATCACTTAACGTACGTATATTATAGAAAACACTCCAAAATCGATCCTTTTCTGTAACTCATTGAAACTCTTATTCAAGCCTACGCCCCATTCAGGCCGGAGTGGCTCAGGGTAGCTTTTTATTATTGCTAGTGGGGTGGGACTAAGTCCCTTGTACTGCGGCCACTTCTGGCCTATTGTACCAGGCCCAGATGATAGGTGAGGGTGATTGTGGAGCAATTGGTGGAATGAAGATTGGCAGGGGAAACCGAAGTACTCGGAGAAAACCTGCCCCAGCGCCACTTTGTCCACCACAAATCCCACTTGACCAGAACCGGGATCGAACCCGAGCCGCCGCGTTGGAAAGCCAGCGACTAACCGCTCGAGCTATGGCGCGGCCTCAGGGTAGCTTACTCGGACCCACGCTCTTCAATATTTATGTTAACATTCCGTCAGTTGAAAATGACTCAAACATAGAAATTTCAGTCTGTGCTGATGATACGAATATTAATGTTCGGTCAGGCAGCGTAGGTATAGCAGTTAGGAAGTTAAACACTGCTATAAGCCTTTTAAAACCGTTGTTCCAGAAATGGAGAATCAGGATTAATACAGATGTGTATAATTATACAATTTTCTAAACGATTACGCCACTGTCGCCGCAGTAAGTAACAAGTAAAGATTTTTAACGAAATTATAGCTTGGAATAACGAAACAAAGTATCCTGCATGTTGCGCAAAACTAATTAATGTTTCCTATCTTAAACAAATCCTCCACAATTTACATTAATCTAGAGTTAGTAATTTATAAATCACTTAATTCCATGCTGACATATGCTTCCCCCTTATGAAGCTATGCTACCAACACCTACATAAATAAATTACTGACATTTCTAAATAAAGTCCTCACGATAATAATAAAATTACGTAGGGTAAAACCAGCTGTAACGTTACCTGAACAGGCGGGAATTCCATTAATAAGAAATATTATCAAGAGGTTAGAGACGACATTGTGTCGAGAGTCTGTAATCAGCGAAAACAGCCAGATTCAGGAATGATGACACTATGATCCTATCGGTGACACATATCTGCCTCCCTTATCCCTGCTTGCAAGATAATCCGCTCGGTACGACAATCATAAATAATAAATTAGGAAACAATTAGCTGAAACTGGTCAATATCACTGACCCAATACATACATCATTCTAGACCACCTGAAAAAACATTAAAGGAGAAATTTTCTTTACACATAACCAGAATTATGAAAGCATCACAGAACATACAGTCCGTCGGCGGTCATATCGACCAGTTCCCTACGCTGGACAATATGGCGGACAGGCGCACAGGCATACATTCTCTTCCATATTTATGCACAACTGTATGCATATGAAAAGAAAGTTCTGAAAAACAAATATATAAACTTTTTTTCAAATAAAGCAACAGCCAGATAGGAATTAATGTTAGGTTTGGCATATCTAATGACGGACTATTAGCTAGAAATCGGTTTGCATCCGGAAGGTCCTGCGATCGGCCAACTCGATCAGGGATTTCCGTGGTTTTCCTCGGTCCTAGAGCAAATGCTGAGTTGGTATGCAAATGTCACCTTGCACTGCTTACTTCACATACAGCCCTCCCATTGGTAACATCGAAATTTCGCCATAATACAAAACTCCCACAGTTAGATCAAATTTTAATATAATGCAGCCCTTCCAGCGTCATATAAAAATTACTGCGATCATGTGCATCACCTCTACCAGAAGGGCAAGAAGTGGACACTGCCTGGGAACCTTCAAAACCGGAGACATAATTTCTTACCCCCCGCCACATTGTAGTGTCTCAGAGTACTTCCGCACATTTTTCTCTTCTCTTCTCTCTCTCTCTCTCTCTCTCTCTAGGAAAGTAAGCAATTAGTTCTTCCCAGAACTTCTTCTCTGAGATCCACTTTAAAATCCAGTTGTTAACCTCTCATGCTTTCAAAAAAGCACATATTATGCAGGGTTACAAATTTTCAATAATTTGTTGCCTAATCTCAAAAGTCTAATGAATGAAAAAGCGCGATTTGAAACAGCACTGAAACAAAACTTGAACAGACGCTCACTCTACTCTGTTGTTGAATATCTGTTATTTAAAAAATTGCCTATCCGCTTAAAAGTTGTGTAAATTGCATAAGTTGACAGTATGATGCAATGCATGCGGATGTGTTTTTAAACAGCCTTATGTAAACCCACTGTGTTCTCTTGCGTAAAATTTCTGTTGTACTGTACACATGTTTTTGTAATTATATGATATATTCCACATCCTATAGTCATTTGGACTCACTTTGCATCCAGGGAATGCAATGTAATGTCACATAATTATTTTTACTATCGGTTCGTAAGACACCAAAGTGGTTCCTTCATGCGCGTTTCGTGACAAAGATATTACCTGTTTCTAAATTCTCCGTGTATGCTACGTGCTCTGCTTATCAGTTCTTCCTTTGTTTCATTACCAGAAAATATCTGTTGAAGATGTAATTACTTACATGGATGGATATTAACGTTCTCAATTTTGAATAGTGTTGTCTTCTGGGATATAACGCCGCGTAATCTGTTGAAAGTCAACCGACGTTTCGGAGTAGCAAGGAATATGGATGCAATATATTCTTTCGAAAATTCAGTTGACATTCAACGGAGTACACGGCGCTATATCATAGAAGATAGTACTCTTCATAATCATCGCTGTGAGAACCTCAAATCCTATGTTTTGAATTTTGATGCCAATAAATAGATATGTTTAACCCACTTCTGTGCAAAAGCATGCCCCTCAAAGGCGTAACATTTCTTCTTCACGTACATGTATTTATCTTTTTAATCGTATTGTAAATATCATATGAACAAGTGATACAGACGGGTTAATTCGTTAGTTTTCTATACAAGTTTAGAAATTTGGTACAGGTATATCGATAGTTCTTAAATTCACACCAAAAAAGCATGAATTTATATTGTTAAGCCATTTATATTGAACACAGTTGCATTTATAAATTTTTCCAAAGAAAAGCCTGAATATTTCATTTTCAAAATTATCCTCCGTCCCAATTTTCATCATACATATAAAAATTTATTTAATTTCACTCTCTTAATTTTAAAATAAAATATTTGACGTGGTGGATATAAGAACATGGCTTTTCCGTTATGAGGGAGGGTTAATATAACCGTCAACACAACATTTTATATTGTTGGTTGAGGCACTATGCTACTAGCCGTAAGGTCGCGGGATCGAATTCTGATGAGGTCATTGGATTTTTTAAATTTACCTAATCCTTCCAGCCGCACTATGGCCTTGAGGTCGACTCAGCCTCTAACAGAAATGAGTACCAGGAATATTCTTGGAATGTTCTTGTGGGTAAAGGGCGGCCGGCGCGTAGGGCTGACAACCTTACCGCCATCTATGAGCCGATTGTCTGGAAAATGTGGGAACCTCAACATCACACAACCCTATGGGCCTCCAAGACCTGTTACAGGGATACCTTTGCTTACTTTTTACACAACATTTTATAAGTAAATAAAATAACATTAATGTGTTAATATTGTTTTGTCGGTCGGTGTTCTCAGCATCAGGGGGATATAAGAAACACATAAGCGTCACCACTAAATTGTGGGACTTATACGCATGCGTATTAGCGAACATCTTAAATTAAATACCGTATTACTTGGAATACAAGACGCATCCAGTTCTTACTTATGGGTTTTAGGGAAAAAATTAGAAATATGCACATTTCTCGGATTTAAGACACGCCTTAATTTTTCAGCTAAAAAAATATGTACAATGTGCGTCTTATATTAGAAGTAATAGGATATGTTTACAAATTTTTGTTGTGTATTTTTGACTTTCTTATATTGTGATAAAACTAAATTTGAGAACTAGAATATTAAATGTTGAAGTTGAATAAAATTAATTGATAAAATACAGTAGAACTGTGAACTAAATTTCCGCACAGTGAAAAGTTAATATTATGAATATGTTCAGTATATTAACATGGCAAGTTCTACTACCGCACATGTCACTAAACTAGTTATATACTTAATTTAACAATTTCCTTTCGCGTTGCATGATATACAGTTAATTGTAATCAAATTACGACTTTTAACTATGAGTGAAACTTACCTCATAGGTCTATACTGGTTGAGCCGCACTTCCTTCCATTCGTGTTAAAGTATATTAGAACACGTATCATATACACTGTATCAGCACGAACGATGATTCACGAAAATTCTGTTAAGTAACAAGTAAACGAAATAATTGAAATTCTGTATATCATTTTTCTACCTCATATATGAACGTACATTATGTTAGTTAATAAGCATTTGCGCAGGCTAAACATCCTTCCAGCTGGATATGTCCAAACTCATCAGTTTTATTTTGTTCACTTAATCCGCATATAGTAATTCTGCGAGGAACGTTAATGGCCTTGGTTGCATGCGTCCTCAAGGCAGTCTTACTCTACCACATTAAAATACACGTAAATGTCATGTGACATAAGAGCGCATATGTTGTAGTCACCGCAGTCTGGCTCCTTATATCGCTTCCCCGAACAGGCTAATTTTCTGCCTTGGCCTAAATGAAGGACGTTTCTAAGCGTGACCACTTATCTTGCAGATATGTAGAGCACGGCGTTCTCGTTCCCAGCCGACTTCAAAGCGACACTAATGTTCGTATCTGGCGCTTAAGAGAGACGAGTTCACTAGACATATTTCCATAAAAAGTAAAATAAAACTGTCCGTGTGCTTAATTATTTAAGCGCCAGGCTATAAAGACATTTTTCTCGTGGGTAAAGCGGCCGAAGCGTGAAGCTGACCGCTTACCTCCAACTGGTGTCAAGTTCAAAATAGCGTGTACCTATACATCCACTTCCCCATTCGTCCTCAAAGCACAGGAACACCTTTAACTTTGCCATGCTATAAAGACATATGAGGCGTGGAAGTGTAGCTCCAATATTTTTGACTTCCGTACTAGATGACAGTAAGTGGTCTGCTTCACTCTGTGTCCGCTTTACCCCCGAGGAAAGAGCTCCTGGAACACCCTGGGTGAAGGCTGGGTGGGACCCAGAACCGGTCTGGACGCTGCGAAGTAGAGAAAATCTCTGTCCCTTCTGGGAATGTAACCCCGACAGTCCAGCCCCAAGTCCATCGCTATGCTGACTGAGCTATCCCGACTCGTAGAAAGTTGGACATGCTAAGTAAAATTCTTTTCTATGTAATGAGTGTTCAGTAATATATCGGATCCCATCTGTGCAGTATATACCAGTATAGCCGTGAACCAAAATGAAAGCGAAAGTTTCGCAAGACAGAATGCTCTTTGTTTGTGACAGACTTTTCTTTACAATGGCTCTTCCAGCCCATTCAGGGCCCAGGCCTCTTTTTCTGTTCCGTATTCATTTTTACGGTCGGTAGGACTCCTTGGACAGGTAATCAGCCCGTGACAAGACACCCACCTAAACACAGAACAACACAAACAGAATAAACGCACAGACATCCATACCTTGAGTGGGGTTCGAGCCCACGATCCCAGCGGTTGAGCGAGCGAAGATAGCTCATGCCTTAAACCACGCGACTACTTTGACCGGCCTTGTGATAGACTTAGAGCTTATAAATTGAATTTAAAGTTAAGAATGGAAATTATGAAAATATTGTAAAGCAGCTTGAGAAATGTTTAGGATAAAGTCCAGTAACTGCTGATTACGAAAAGCATAAAGATATGTTACACCTTATATATGTGTGTGTTTCTTTATATGTGTGTAATTTTGTGATGACGTATAGAACTTTCTCGTGATATCTGAAATACCAACGGCAGTGACTTTAAAATTCACTTTCTTCTGGGGTTTGACGCCGTATGGTCTTGTCGATATTTATTAACATTCTGAAGGGTCCTGCTGCCTCTGTCATCATTCCAGTGGGGTGAAGTTTAAAAAAAAGAAGGCACTGGATCTTTTCCGAAACGTCGATATTTATCAGCCAGACTACAAGGCGTCTAATCCGAGGAGACGATAATCTTCGTGATATTTTATTCGTTGCAAGTGATAAGGGAAAGAGAATTTATTCATACAGCTCACTTAATTTTCGGGTTCCTACCCTATTTCATGCAGCTCGTTAACGAAGTATTACATATGTTCGTTAAATATTACACCAGTCTACTCACTGATAAGTAGCCTTGCTACTTTTATGTCCTCTTACCTTCATTGATACCGTACTGTCTGTCAGTTCTCTTCTGAACAGAGCCGAAGGCCTCTGGAGACTATTGCGCAAACGCTGTGTGTCCCCTCGGACTCGGAGACGAACTGCAGATACGTAGCGTTAATCAGCAGTACTGCTCTGCCTCACTGGGCGCGTTCAGTCCCGTGCTGGCTCGATTAAGTTATTTCAAGGCTTTCGAACCTGCATCCGGAAAGCTATATACACGGAGCGTGTAAAGATACACGATGAAGTACCTCACAGCAGTGGAAGGTTATACTCCATTGGAGTATGTGTTTACCGAACGTTTTATTAGCGATCTGCAGTTCTATATTGACCTTGACGTTATTTCAACAGAGACACGTTTCGTTTTTTGGACAGTTTATCGCAATACAGATAACATACTACACAGAGCCGAAAATGACACAGGTCGGAAATATTATGGTAACTTTAAAGGGTATTAACTTCTTAAACTAAATCTAGCTTGTTGATTCCAAATCTTGAACCGAAAATATTCTCCACAATTTCGTAGTTTTGTGTACTGAATTTTGATCGAAAAACAACGCGTTGTTTTTACAATTTTTGTGTTTATTTCTTCGTGTTCTTAATAACTGTTGTCAGTCGTAATGTTAGAAAATTGTGTTTTGTTAGTAAATAAATGCTTATTCTTATTCTAATGTCTTCCATTCTTTCAAATTATGGTACAATTCTTTCATACATAAAATAGGATAATAAAGAACTTACTTATTACATCTTACTTATTGCTTTGTTGTCAGCTTATCCGATATAGTAATTAGTAGTTCATTTCGTGCATGTTACCGGAAGATAAATTCGCCGTCTCTTGAAATATTTAAAGTACACTTGGTCGTCGACTTACGACCGATTTCAGTTCTTACTGACAGGTCGTAAGTCGAACTGGTCGTATGTCGGCCATATATTTATTAACAGTATTTTTTAACCTTTCTAATCTTTTTATCATCTTTATAATTTATTTTTAAGAACTTTTACATTTTAATCATCTTTTATTTTTCATTTTTTTTGTCGTAAGTGGGGCCGGTCGTAAGTCGCATAGGTCGTAAGTCGACGACCAAGTGTATAAGATTTAAATACGTAGATGAGTCAATAAGTAAGTTACAAATTGATGTGGGGTACTACATGTTTGAATGAGGCACTTGAGGCTATCGCCACTAGATGGCAGCATTAGTCCGGTGGCAATTGATGACATTCGACAATCGATGTTTACAAAAGTAAAACAGCAGATGCAAGATGGCGGAGCCTCTGAGTGAGTGTACAACCCCCGAGCAGCGCTCCGTTGTGGGATTTTTGTGGGCAAAAGGTATGGAATCAAAGAATATTCATAAATAAATGCTTCCAGTCTACGGTGAGAAGTACCTATCACGTCAAGCTGTTTGCAATTGGGTGCAGAAGTTCTCTCAAGGGCGGACACGTATCGAAGACGAACACCGCGTCGGCCGGCCAACGGAGATTGCCACGGGTTGAAGACTTAATCCGAGCAGACAGAGGGTTAACTATAGACACTACAGCCACTACTATTGGATGTTCGCATGGAATGGCCTACCTCATAATGCATGACAGGTTAGGTTTTCACAAAGTCTGTGCACGATGGGTGCCGCGCATGCTGACCCCACAACACAAAATGCAAAGAATGGATCTGGCATTCGACAATCGATGTTTACAAAAGTAAAACAGCAGATGCAAGATGGCGGAGCCTCTGAGTGAGTGTACAACCCCCGAGCAGCAAAAGGTATGGAATCAAAGAATATTCATAAATAAATGCTTCCAATCTACGGTGAGAAGTACCTATCACGTCAAGCTGTTTGCAATTGGGTGCAGAAGTTCTCTCAAGGGCGGACACGTATCGAAGACGAACACCGCGTCGGCCGGCCAACGGAGATTGCCACGGGTTGAAGACTTAATCCGAGCAGACAGAGGGTTAACTATAGACACTACAGCCACTACTATTGGATGTTCGCATGGAATGGCCTACCTCATAATGCATGACAGGTTAGGTTTTCACAAAGTCTGTGCACGATGGGTGCCGCGCATGCTGACCCCACAACACAAAATGCAAAGAATGGATCTGGCATTCGACAATCGATGTTTACAAAAGTAAAACAGCAGATGCAAGATGGCGGAGCCTCTGAGTGAGTGTACAACCCCCGAGCAGCAAAAGGTATGGAATCAAAGAATATTCATAAATAAATGCTTCCAATCTACGGTGAGAAGTACCTATCACGTCAAGCTGTTTGCAATTGGGTGCAGAAGTTCTCTCAAGGGCGGACACGTATCGAAGACGAACACCGCGTCGGCCGGCCAACGGAGATTGCCACGGGTTGAAGACTTAATCCGAGCAGACAGAGGGTTAACTATAGACACTACAGCCACTACTATTTGGTTGTTCGCATGGAATGGCCTACCTCATAATGCATGACAGGTTAGGTTTTCACAAAGTCTGTGCACGATGGGTGCCGCGCACGCTGACCCCACAACACAGAATGCAAAGAATGGATCTGGCATTACAGCATCTCAATCGCTACCACGATGAAGGACATGATATGCTAGCCCGAATTATCAGAGGTAATGAGTCTTGGGTTCACCATTACCAGCCCGAGACAAAGCGTGCGTCAATGCAGTGGAAATATCCTGCGTCGCCTGCCAAAAAAAAGTTTAAGATAACACCATCCTCCTGGAAAGTGATGCTCACAGTTTTCTGGGATCACGAAGACCATTCAACGGAAGCGACTAGGACTCCTCACCAAAGGCGTGTTACTCTTGCATGACAACGCGCGTCCCCATACTGCCAACAAGATAAATGAGACGCTGCGAAATTTCAAGTGGGCAGTACTCGAGCATCCTCCTTATAACCCCGACCTTGCTCCAAGCGACTTCCATTTGTTCGGCCCTCTTAAACATCATCTTTCGGCTGAACATTTTCCCGACGATGAAGCTGTAGAAAGGGATGTACTGCTGGTTTTCAGGGGCTTGTGAAACGATGGGACAGATGCCTCAATGTACAGGGAGATTCTGCTGAGAAATAAAAGCATTTTTGAAATCAGTACTCTTATTTGTTTAAGTTCTGTATCCATTTGTAACTTACTTATTGACTTATCCTCGTATGAAGGAAGACTGGAGTAGTGTGATATATTTTGTCTGATGAACTTCTTTGGGAAAATTGATAAGATTATGAAGAGTGGTATCATGTGGCATGTGATACTGTGGAGGTTCTTGCATCTTGCTCTTCTCTTTCTTAGCATATTTTTTACCCTGAAGACGGAAACTGTACGTTCCTGAGAAACGTCAGTGAAAGTCTACCGGATCACACTGAGTAACATCTCAGAAAGTGCTACTTTTCACAGTGCCCGCTGAGGGACCGACAGACCCAGCACTGCTAAAATTAATTTCAGCTTCTTTTAAAATAGTGCCAGAGAGCTGGGATAGCTTAGTCGGTATAGAGACTGGCTACGGTCTGGATGGTTGATGTTCGATTCCCGGGGGGGGGGGGGGGGGGGGGGGTNATTGATTTTTTGTATTCTCCATAGGGTCCCAATCGGCTCTAGGAACCACCGAGTTCCTTATCCAATGCATATCGGGATTCACTTTCCAGGGGTAAAGCGGCCGGTGTGTGAAACATCAGTTACTTCCATCTAGTGCCGATGTCAAGAATTGTGGAGCTATACCTCCACTCCCCATACATATTCATTTCATGGTGCTTAATTAATTAAACAAAGGAGCAACTCTACCTTTACCTTAAAGTAGTGTCACATTGGAATTGTTATGGCTCTGTAGCCCTTTCACGGACCTTGGCCGCTTTTCAGTTTCTTGATCTGTTATACAATTGGTAGCACTCGTTGAATGGGGGATCACCCGTGGCAAGGCCGGTATCTGCACACACACACACACAGGACTGCACAAAAGCAGAATAAACGCACACAGACATCCATGCCTCAAGTAGGATTCGAATCCACGATCCCAGTGTTTGAGCGTCTAAGACGGTTCATGCCTTAGACCAGGGGTCTCCAAACTTTTAGAAACGCGGGCCACATTAGGTAACTCAGCACTTTCAATGGGCCGGATAAAATGAGAAATTAATAATTCTAGGTATATGAGTTTTATTGAAAGCACAGAATTTTATAAACTAAATACAAAGTACGTGAGAATAAATTATCGTATAATAATGACAACAGACAGTAGCAGCAAATGCTCATATTTTCATCACAAATTATAATAAAATAATTAATATGAATGAAGGAACTCTTTTTGCATTCTTAAAATCTAATTAAATTAGATCCAATTTTGAAAAGCTAATCTCAAGTAGCGACTTTAAATGTTCATCGGATAAATTTTCCCTGTATTTCGACTTGATGTACTTCATCTGGGAAAAAGTTTGTTCACACAGATATGTCGTTCAAAAAATGGAGATAAATTTACAAGCAAATTTCTTTAAATTTGGAAATTGCTAAGAGTTCAGAAATTTACAAAATTCGATCAAATTTCCTTCCTTGTATTTGTCTTTAATATGATAAGTTTCCTGAAGTTCAATAATTTCCATTTGAATTTGACTTGGGACATCTGCAGCATCACAGTCAAACGGATTTTGAAACAATCTAATTTCCTGAGCACTGGCATCCAAATCAGCAAATCGCTTCCGAAATTGTTCTTACAAATCTGAAATGACTAAATTTGCAAACGAGGAAGGAAATTCTGCTCGCGCTACCTACATTGCCACGAAGTGACACTGTCGATCGAGGCCGAACAAGTACGATGAAATACCGCGCAGTATACGATCCATAATTAGTAAAATAGTGAATAATATTAATATTAACATAATATGGAATATCAATATATTTTAAACACAATCTTAATTAATGAATCTGAAATCTATGAATAAGTATTTTTTTACCAGTACTCATTGGAAAATTAGTTCAATTGGCACATTTCTGCACAATTCTTTCGCGGACCGGACAAAATCACATCGCGGGCCGTAGTTTGGAGACCCTTGCCTTAGACCGAGCGGTCACTGTGATCGACTGAATATAAATCCAAAATTAAAGTCCTCAAGCAATTTCGGTGCAGATCTCCAGGATCACATTTCACAGAAACAAGCTCAGTAGTGTCGGGATGAAAATTGCGGACGGACGGACGGACTAAAGAACGAACAAACATGACCTCAGTATGCTTTCGTTTTAATCTCGTAAATCACAGCGCAGAAGAACACTGTTCCGCCAGCCA